GTTACTATGGTTCTGTGTCCTATTTCATGGAAGAAATTCAATTCAATTCCCAGACAATAAAGGCAGATGGCCATCTTACTAACAGAACTTCAATAGCACTGCAGTGGCATTGGCTTGGCTAACATTTATTGAGCACTTCTTATGTACCAGGCACTGTGCTAAGCATTTTATATGCTGATTCTCATAACAACCCTGCCATATGGTCCTAGCATTATCTGTTTATGAATGACTACAAGGAGCTTCAAATAAATATAACTGCCCATGTCTTACAACTGAAAAATGGAGGAGCTGAGAGTCAAATCCAGGTGTGTGTGACCCTAGAGTCTAAGGACTTAGGTGCGCCATGCTGAAGGAAACTGCATGGGTGGCCAACAGCAGCAGCCAGTGGTTCACCTGGTGGATCAGTGCAGTGCTCCTCTGAAGGCTGGGGAATGCCACCTGACCCTGACGTCTGTGAGCCCCAACACGTATGAGCTCACGGATGCCAGCAGGCACTTCTTGCAGGTATCTGGCCCACAGATCAGGTTTAGATCGAGTAACACATGTCACTGCACGTGGAGGCCACTTGCCCATTGTTTCTATAGCCAGACAATGGGCAGTCAAGTAAATCAACTGCATGAGGTAGTTTGGTTATTACTCATCAATTAAAGTATCAGGACATAATTGAATAGAGAGATGATGTGAATTCCACCCACACCAACTGAGGTTCAAATGTGGCCAGTGCCCCAGGGTTGCTTTCATCTCTAATTAGTTTCCATGAATATTGGTAAAAGAAAGGACTGAACGATATCCTCAGTAAATGTCCAAAATTTAGAACAAAACAAAACAAAGCAAAAATAAAAAACCCTTTCTATACCTTATCCCTACGGAAAACTACTCTTAGAACAGCACTGGATCAAAATGGACCGTAACAGTCATCTAGCCCAATCTTCCATCCTCTGAAAACACCTCACTACAGCACCCCTGACAAGCGACATCCAGCCTCTGCCTGCATTCCCAGTCCTGGGCATGCCCTACAGCAAACCATCCTGCCACTAAGCAACCTCACTGACAGATGTCCTTCCTTTTACCGAGGTGAAGCCTGCAGTCATCAAGCCTGCTCTTTGGTCGTCATTTTGCCCATGGAGATAGTGCTTAGACTTATTTTCTCTTCCCCCTCACAGTTGTCCTAATATCCGGAAATAGCGGGTCTTTTAAATTGCTTCTTTCCTGCAGGCCAAGTACCCGAGGCACTGGTCCTGACTACAGGTATGGGTGCCAGGGCTTCCCCAGAAGCTAGACATGCAAGGCTCCAGGTAAGTGTGACGAACACAAAGTGGGGCTCTTCCCGTCAGCGATGAGGACACTGGCAGCCTTTTACACTCTATACTGTTCCTTTGCCATTTGCATTACACTGCTGATTCATTCTAAGCCTGTGGCTAATGAAAACCTCTGGATCTTTTCTCAAATGAGCTGTTCTTGTTGAATAAGGTGGATTCCCAATCTGTGTTGCTGACTAAAAATATATGTTCATGAAATAAAGTATTTTGCTAGATATGATCCCATCAGGATCAGTATGAAACTGGTGGAAAGCCAATCCTCACCACCTTCGTGAAAATGGCTCCATGTGTTTTCCTGGGATCATCTGGCACATGCAATCCAAAAAACAATTTGTTACTTACTCATTAGCATTCAAGCTAGCTGTGGCTCTGATGATCATGTAGCAGAGTGTGAGGGCACTGAGGAGGCCAAAACTGGCAATAATAAACCATTCTTCTGTTGACAAAGGAAAGGGAGGAAATCACTCTGGGGAGAAGGTTTAAGTCAAATCGATGCCAACATTTCCCTCAAATGCAACGAAGCAGACGTCAACGGAGGTGTAAGCCAAGACTGGCCCAAGGAGGTGAAGCAGGAGGTTTGCCAGAGAGCTACTAACTGGAGAAGGTTAGTGGAGTACTGGTGAAAGCTGCAAGGGAGAAAGGAAAGCATGGCCCAACCGTTTCTTCCATTTAGGTCCTGAGGTCTGTGAGCAGTGTAGCCACCAAAAAGTGTATGGTGAAAATATGTATATAAAATTGCACATGGACATAGATTTTTTTCATTGTTAATGTAAATGGCAGTAAAGCAGACTAAGCATATTTATAACCTTCTTTCCTTCTTCATTCTGTCATTTCTGCATGGCTTTCATTCTTAGTCAAAGGCTGAGGAGCACGGAGCAGCGGTTCTCCAGGTCCTGTGGGTGCTCCCAGCAGTCTGCGAGCCGGCCTCCCACGGCATCCATGGCTACATTTTTCTCTCTTACGCATGGGCTTACGTGGGATATTTATGTAAAAAGAACATCTCACTGGTGTCTCAAGAAACCACAAACTGCTCTTCCCGACCCCACTGCCGAGGAGCAGCACTGGCTGTCCAGGCTGTGACACGCAGAAGTAGGAAGGGCGGGGGACTGACCGGGTACTTGGCCACCAAAGAGCTGGAAACCTTTGGTGCTTACAACTCTAAGGATTTTCATCTAGCCTGTCTCTCTCTCTCCATCCAGATATTTTCCCTTACTTTTTCAGAGCCAATGTTGTCAAGGTCACATTTTAAAAACAGTATTTATTGAGAACCTCAAAAACAACCTAAGAACCGATCTGACTTGCTAAAAAGTCTTAACTCTAAAATATTTCTTAGAGTACACTGACTAGGGCTTTTTTAACAAACTGTTACACAATAAAATTACCTATATATCTGCAAGAAGGAAGAGAGAACTATTTACATGTGGACTGCCAAATATTTTATGCACAAGCTGTATATAACATGTGTGTTTCTCAATCTGGGTTCCACAAATCCTAACCCCGCATGCAAAACTGTGTGTGCCTAGGCCTTTTTCTAGAAAAACATACTTTTGTTAGATTTTAAAGGTGGTGACTTTCAGAAGGTCACGAAGCACTGCTCTGGAGGACTTCCGGGTCCGGAGTGTGCTCTATGAGCACTTCTCTGCCCACCTTAGCTTATGTTATGAAAATGCTTAGTAAACCCCTACTGTTTAGACATCAGTACAGCCACTGCCTCTCAAACTACAAACTTCCTCATCAGTAGATGGAAGCTTTTTATTTAATCAGCATGAACGTTCAAGAACACATATAAAACCCACCATTTTTACCTGTAATGTTGTAAGTTAGGGAAAATGTATATGGCATTTAAAAAAATCAAGAGCCGAATGCCATCACCATCAAGGAACTTAACACAGTACCCTCTTTTTTCTTCTTGGAGACTCTTACATAGGATACACAGACTACCTTGCAGAACTTCGTCACATCTACGTTTCCAAATTCTGAGTATACTATCCCATATTTGCATGTCTTTGTGTGTGTGTGTGATTTCAATTTTAAAAACTTGTAACAAAAGGAAGTAGACACCATCATAAAACACCCAATATGCTGGTGGCATTTCCACAGTGCCCCCCTGCAGCAGGCCTGGCTACCTCTGCCCCCAGTGCCTACTTAGCACAGTGCCTTGCACACAGTGGGTGCCAGTTGGATGCATTGTGGTTGCTATGGTGCTACAGAGCTTCAGAGGGAAAGCAGAGGTAGCTGTGGTTTAGTTCAATCATATGAATTTTATTTATTAACATCGTGTAAATTCTAAAGATGATTAATTTGGTACATGAAGTAATTTTTTGTATCATCAAAGCATAAAGTTTTGAAAGGACATTTCTATATAAAATATAATGGGATCAGTATTTAATGTAGTAAGTAGTAGGTGCTCAATAAATGTTTGATCAATGAAGGACCTGAAAAACTCACTAATAAACCAACAACCTTTGTGTTCTTTATTGCTACTCAATCAAGTTTTAAAACTGTAGACCACAAAACCTAAACACCAAAGAAAGAAAACCATGAAATGCTATCAAAATGAATCACTGAGAGATGGTGAGAAATGAGCCAAACTACGCTCAAAGCATAGTTTTCCCTATTGCATAACTGAATGAGGGCTCTCTTGAGTGTAGACAGATGACAGAATAAAACCTGGGGAACCATTTTCTAACAATAATGTCTGGTTGATTAAAAACATGAATACTTTGATTGAACAGACCACACAAGTCTTAATATGTAAAGGAGAAAACATTTTGTAACAGTGTCATCCATTTCACTGACTCCCAGAGTGGAGTGGGGTCCCACCAGCCTCAGGGTCTGACGCTCTAGGCAAGCAGCAGCAGGTACTGGAAAAGGCAACAGCAGAGCAGCAACAAGGAAGATGGGTGAAAGGTTGTTAGATGAAAACAACATGTAAAGAATGGAAGTGAAGAGAAAGGCTGGCTTGTGGAGGGGTGAATGTCTGTGAGGCCCACACACACGCCGTCAGCTCACTCACACCGTCCTCAGGCACTGCCATCAAAATACTCGGCATTTCTTTCCTGCTTGTCGACAGTGCAATGTGAGGATTTTCATAACTTGCTCACGCTATTTTTTTTCAGGCAGACTGGCCTTTGGCTTTTCTCCTACCTCATGTACAATTATACCAAAGAGTTAAGTGCCAAGAGACCAAACTTCCATAAAAAACTTAAAATAAAGTGCGCAACAGGCTATGTTCCAAGAACTGTGAATTTTTAGGTTCAAATTATAGATGAGTTTCCCACTAAGTAGCCTGTAGTCCCGGAGGTGGAGATCACCAGTGCTCACAGCATACAACACACCAGCAATGCTGCTGGGGGCCTGTGTCACCTTCCAACATCTCCTTTTAAATGCCTGTTTGTAAGGCAATGATTTCAAAACAAGGTTCATAATACAGCGACTAAGACAGACCTCAACAGCTACTCATCAAATGCAGCTATTCCTATTAATTATACACAAACACACCAGCTACTTATCATAAATAAAGTTTCATTCTTCCAAATACCTGTTTTAACAGAAACACACATCCCTTTCTTGGTTACAGTCTGTGTCGCAGGCTGAGGCGAGTGCCTTGACTCTCCTGATGGTCCCGAATGCCCATATAGGCAGCCACATGCCCTGTGCCTGAGCGGAGGCCCCACTTACTTGTTACTGCAATGTTGATTTCTCCTGTTCTCGGAGTGAGCTCCCCATCCTGAGGAAGAGGCGAGATCCCCGAAGTTCGAAGTGGCTCAAGGCCGAGGGAGTTGTCGCCGGCAAGGTCGCCAAGGGCTGATCTTCGGTTTACAGCTTGGGTTCTGGTGAGCCTTTCCATATCGAATGCTACGTTATCAGTACATGGCAAATTCGGCTGCAAAATATTTCTAGGTTAAAAATAATTGTAAGGAAAACAAATCCTTTCATAAGATTCTAAAGTTTGACGCCCTGTTGCAAAGACCTTACTAAGTTATTTCCCTGTGATATCCTCTCATTTATCTGCCCACCTACCTACTCCTCTCCTCTCACCCTAAGAGTTTTTCTTCAAAAGGCACAGAGATCTCTTCTCAGAAATGGTACAAAGGAAAACCAAAATTCACTGCAGATCAGAGAAAACTGGTCACGGCCCACAGGCACAGGGAGTCGTAATCATTAACATAAAGATACCAAACATCCAGTTTAAAACAGTAAACTATTACTTTACTTCATGGTAAATGTCCATATTGAAGAATCCCAGGTAATAGAAAACACCTCGGTCATCCTACTAACTTCTCCGAAAGCCCCATTTCTCTGGTAGTCAGTTTTTAAGTATCGTCTGCCTTTAAACACAAGTAAAGCATCAAACCAAGAGGAAGTCAAAGTTGAAAAGACTTTTGAACTATAAGAAAATCATCTGTTTCAAAACCTAAGCACCTAATCCTGAGGGAGAGGTATAGAGCTGCTTAGGGCCAAAGTCTACTAATTAAAAAGTAAGCGCCAAAAGTCTTCCATTGTAACAATGTGGATGTTTGGTTTACCTAACAACCTTTGGTTCTCTCAGCATGCAGCAGCAGGCCGCACATAAGAAGCAGAGCTGGGAGGGATGGCTGTGAGAAGTTTATATGTTTCTAGAGAGAAGTTTCAGCCAAGCAAACCTGGAACCAATGGCTTTCTGGGCAAAAGAACCGTTTCAGGTCATCTCAAAGCCTTATTTTAAAAAAAGCAAAACACAGTGTACTAAGTGATGCTCAGACTCATACCCAGTTAGAAGAGGTTTTTTTATGTTCACTACATGTAAGGATCCATGATAACCTGCAATACATTTTAGAAGGATTTTTGTTATAAACAGAGGAGAAAAGTATTAGCACTTAATATACTTAACAAACAGGCTGGGCATGGTGGCTCACGCCTGTAATCCCAGCACACTGGGAGGCTGAGGCGGGCAGATCACGAGGTCAGGAGATCGAGACCATCCTGGCTAACACGGTGAAACCTCATCTCTACTAAAAATATAAAAAATTAGCCGGGCGTGGTGGCAGGCACCCGTAGTCCCAGCTACTCGGGAGGATGAGGCAGGAGAATCACGCCACTGCACTCCAGCCTGGGCGACACAGTAAGACAGCCCCAACAAGAAGGGATTATCCAGTCCATGGTGTCAGTAACACCCAATACTTTCAGTAATCCCATGTTAAATGGCATCACCACTGACATGACCTCTGGAGACAAAGGACAAATGGGGCATTACTGCCCAACTGTATACACTGAAACTGTGTTTGACAGTATATTTAAAATAAGATGACTTCGATCTTCTTTGGGTTGCAAGCTAAAATGAGTTCATCTGTTGGATCAAACTAAACTTTTTGTTCCATAGGGAGATTATTCTTTCATTCTTTGAGACCAGAAACTATGTTATTTTCTGATAAAAAAGCGTAACCCTGGATATACATGCTTCTCTTAAGCAAGGACTAACCAAGGTCCTTGGTTACTCAAGTCAGCGTTGACCTGGCACCTGCCACAGCTGGACTCTGGCACACCTGGCGACGGCCCCTGCCAGGCTATGGTTGCCAACAGTTCTCCTTGGGCTTCAGGCACTGTCTGCCTTCTCTGCTTGCAACTTACCAACCCCCAAGAGATCAAAGTCAAACTTCAGGCTAAAGAACATAGTTTTATATTATGCCAAGCACAGAGGAGATTACGACTGCAACAGAGTCAACAGCATACAGCCTACCTTTTAAAAAAAGATGTTGGAATGAAGAAAAATCATGTCCTTCTCTCTTTCTTCATCTCATACTCCATCTCATACCCAACAGAAGCACACTTTTAAAAGTGGACCATGCCAGGTGTGGTGACTCATGCCTACAATCTCAGCACTTTGGGAGGCTGAGGCAGGAGGATCACTTGAGGCCAGGAGTTTGAGACCAGCCTGAACATCTTGTCTCTTCAAAACATAAAAATGTGGCCAGGCACGGTGGCTCATGCCTGTAATCTCAGCACTTTGCGAGGCTGAGGCGGGTGGATCACTTGAGGTCAGGGAGACCAGCCTGGACAACATGGTGAAACCCTGTCTCTACTAAAAACACAAGAAATTAGCCGGGGGTGGTGACAGGTGCCTGCAATCTCAGCTACTCAGAAGGCTGAGGCAGGAGGATCGCTTGAACCTAGGAGGCAGAGGCTGTAGTGAGCCAAGATTGTGCCATTGTACCCAGCCTGGGCAACAAGAGCGAAACTCCCTCTCAAAAAAAACAAAAACAAAAACAAGTTAGCCAGGCATGGTGGTGTGTGCCTGTAGTCCCAGCTACTCAGAAGGCTGAGGTGGGAGGACTGCTTGAGCCCAGGAGTTCGAGGTTATAGTAAGCTATGACTGCACCACTACACTGCAGTTGGGCCACAGGGTGAAACCTTGTCTCTTAAATTTAATAAAAGAAAAAAAAAAGGACTAGTACAGTTATTTACCTTCTCTTCCAGGAGTTCTCTGAGATGGGTTAGACTTCTCAGTAATATGGAAAAAAGGTCCTGTTGGGCTTACATGGTTACATGGCAAAATAGCCAGTGTTTTCTTGTGTGTCTTAGTCACGCCTCCTATTATGCCAATTGCGTTATACTGTATTACACATACATATAATAATACATAAAAGTGATAACAAATAAAATAGGAAACATACCACAATTCCCAAGGCCTTCAATATATTAAGTTTGCACATAGGACAGGTACAGTGTTCACTAAGCCAGGGATCCACGCAGGATTTGTGGAAAACATGCCTATAAAATAATGCAGAGTTATGTCACAAATTACACACCGAGAAATTTATTAGGCCAAAATGGAAACAAAGGGAATTTTTAGTCTGTTTTCCCCCCTTTCAGAACATATTTTAAGCCCCAAGAGACAAATATTGGGAATTTATTAAAATATAACTTGCAGAAAATCTCCTGAACCCAACCTCATATGTACAACACTGTGGAAGAACTAGTAAGTAGGATCTGATTGTTTGGACCTTTTATTTTACCAAAATCCAAAAAGGACTAATGGAAACTTAGAAAATTTATTAAGAATGAAAACAATCACACTTTATAAACCAGTTATGCTTTCTACAATAGCTAACATAGAAAAATGGAATTTCAAAAAGATATTAAATCATGGTTAAATGAAAAGAGTTCTCTGTATAGTTATTAGTTTTATGGACCCCTGTTTGAATGTCATTTTTAAAAACTTCTGAGCAATTTGTGTTGAATGTTTATAAAAGCTACAGGGAAGTTGAAACTATTTTAAGGGGTAAACTGTGCCTAGATTCAAGTAACACTTAGCAATTTTCAGCTGAAATGTTAAAGGGGGAGGATGGGTGATTTTCTCTCTTACTGAAGAAAGTAGAAAGCCACAGCCTTGTGACTGGAAATAAGTCAGTCAGAGGGTTCTGCATTCTTAAAAAAAGGAACTTGTGCCCTCTGGAAGGGAAGAAAGACTGCAGGAGCTGCAGAAATCACTTCTCAAGCTCTAGCACCTGGCCCAGCAGTTTTCCAAAGCCCTAGAGTCTTGGCCAAACAGGGAGAAGGTGGGTGCCAGGACAGACATTCAGGGCAGCTTTGGAAGAAACACTAATCTGAGTTTGGGATAAGATAAAAGAAAGTTTTGAGTAAGATGCCAAAGTGAACCACGGTATACCTTTACAACTTTGATTGTCAATTTCCAAGTTAATGTTATTTATAGCTGTTTTAAAATGCAGTTTTGATTTATAAAAAAGAGGTCTAGAAAACTCCGTTTCTGTTGGGATCGGGAACAGACGTTCATGCTTACAACTTACAACTTCGGCCTGAACAATATACGCACATGTCTGCCTATCACTGTTTGACGGCCTTACGCTCATTTCTTTGGGGACAAGAGTAAAGATCTTGAAGAATGGATTTGTCAGTCTAGTCTTAAATTCGCAGACAATGAAATAACCAGAACCATCACCCCCAAGGCATTTATTTAAACCTTAAAGCTTTTACTTAAGGGCTGGAAACCCGCCAATCCATAGGTAAGCCCCAAATACATTCAGTACGCCTAAGGCATCATGTCTTATTCCTCGTAGCCTGTGTGTGTAGCGCGGTTCCTTACTACAGGGTGCCCCCAGGGCCAGCCTGGCCTTTCCAGCAGGGGTCAACTGCACTAATGCTGGCTGCTGACCAGCAAAGACCACAACAGCTTCTTAACCCTTTTGGTGAATACAAACTCCCTTAGATCTGATATAAATTACAGAACCTCCCTCTAGAAAGTCACACGGACGCAAATGCCTGGTACCTTGCATACATGTTCAGGAAGGGTACGACCTGTGCACTGGGTTAGCACTAGGGTGGGGTGGCCGGAGGTGCTGCAGGTCAGGCCTACACAGGGCGGATGATGGGACTTGGCCAACTGACAGGTAACAGAAGAGATACGGTGCTGTGACCTCTGATCAGGGCTCTGGTGCAGGAATGGGAGGTATCCCGCTGGGGGTCGGGGGAGGCCTAGGTGCTGTCTTCTGATCGGGGCTCTGGTACGGAAGTGAGAGGTATCCAGATGGGGTTGGGGGGTGGCTGGGCTTGCTGAACTGTTGGTAGAGACCTGGTAAAGCCGCAGCAGCCACCTGGGGGGATAGAGGTGTGGTCCTGGTGCTCCCTACTGGGGCGTTTTTGCTTTTCCCTTTTCTGATTGTCCTGTCTTTCTTTATTCTGAAAGAAGCAAATGGTATAATCCTTATATTTTCTTTTTAAAGCTGCATGAGTTCAGTGTTCTCTGCCTGTTTCTTTAACCTGAAATTAGTTACAAATATATTTGGGTTCTTCAGTAACTGTTTCCTTCCAGGATTACTGATATAAAAGAAGTGTCCGCCCCTCTGTTTTACTAAACAATTAAAAATTTCTCCTCTAGGCTGTAGGGTACTATGAAGAAAAACAAAAAAGACCAACTGGTTCTCTGGCGACAAATTTAGAAAACCTTCCTTCTTTAGCTAACTGAAAACCTGAAATATTTCTGGTCTTTGGGCTCTCCATCCACCCCATCTCTCTCTTACCCCTGACCCCTACCTCAGAGCACTAAACACCCTTCCTTCCTAATTATCTTTCCAAATTCCCCACTAGTCCAGCTTCCGTGTAACTCACCCAGAGATCTTCAGTCTCAAATTCCCACGGCACATCCCTCACTTTCACTAACAAAGCTGGGTGGCTGTTCTCTTCACCCACGGCCCTCCTCTCCTTCCTGTCTCTTCTGTGATCTCCACAGGCAGCTGCCCTGAATGCGGTACTTTGTCCCCCATCACCCATTGTCTAACCCTCCTGCTGGTCTCTTTAGTGCAACCTTCACTGAACTCACCGTGGCCTTTCTTTCCCTTCTAGGCAAAGTTCTGCTACACCGGTGTGGTGCTTGGCAAACCACCTTTCTGCCGTGCAGAGCTCTCAGCTAAGGACTGGGCCGGGGCGTTTAATCTACCTGGGGAGGTGTTTGGAGCAGTCAATGCAACACAGCGTGTGGACCACTCAGAGAAGTGCCAAGGCTGAGCACATGCAGGGCCACCACACGGGCAGAGCAGCCCCACCAACTGGTCACACTCCTGCACGCCTAACCATGCTTGCCCTCACTATGGCTGTGGGCTCTCACTGTGGCAGGTGCTCCATGGACACCCAGGAGGCCTCAGAAAGACACACCTGGGGCAAGTGGGGCCTTGAAAAGAAGCTCCCCACTCACGTGATAAAACACACATAAATGCAGAACAGGCCCGCCACACATAGGGTGGGTGGGTGGTGCACTGGGACAGAAAGCAGGTAATATGTGGACAGTGAAACATGAAAAGCACAAGCATACCGAACTTCAACAAGTCCTTTATTCCTATGAGAAATACTTTGGGATACAGAATGAGAAACAAACATGAAAGGAACAAACCCAGCAATAATGAAATTCAGTGCCCTCCCCTTTCCTATGTCCCACACATGCCATAAACTAGAGTGAGTGGAAGAGCGCTGTGGGAAGGGAGGCTCTGTGGGAGGAAGGTGAGTTGCTCTCACAGCTCTGCAGCCTCTTGGTGCCGTTTAAGAACCTGGCAAATATAAAAGGATGCAGAATTATTAAAGGTCACAGACAGAAACTCTCTTCTGCTAGCTGGGGCTGGCGGCAGTCACTGTCTCTATAGGCCCTCCGTTGCAGTGGTGCCTCAGACATGCTGGGGCTGGCAGCAGTCACCGTCTCTACAGACCCTCCGTTGCAGTGGAGTCTCAGACATCTGCAGTGCCAGCCCCCCGCTTTAGCTCCCAAAGTGGCATGGAAACATACGTTCATCCATCCACGCTGCAGCACTCCACTTCTGAAAAAGTACTTCTAACTACTAAAAACTCCTATGACTAACCTTTAAGAGGTCTAAATAAGACGAGGTGACCAGTTCCTCAGTTTCTAAGACCTGCTGGCTAACATCCAAAGGAGAATCAGCTGTGATCACTGAGCCGAGGAGCAGGCCCCTCCACCATGCCAACTGCCACCTGTCCACAGTAAACAGTGCGACAGAAGAGGAAAAGGAAAGGTCACGTGGCAAGAAGCAGGCAATCCCTGAGAGGCTGGACAGTTCTGGATAGAAAGCCCTACCTGAGCTTGTGAATTGTTAAGATGCACACAAAGGTGTCCAGGCCCATCTCCCTCCCTCACGGAGGAGAGGCAGTGGGCAGGTATGACAGGAGAGGCCGTGGGGCGGTACTTGGAGGGTGATGGCTTTGAAAGACAGTTTTAAAAACTGGACTGGGAAATACGAGTGTGACGAGATGCCGGTGAGTGGAGACAGAACACTGGAAGGAGCAGCCAGCCAACAGAACGAGACCCTGAGGAAGGGAGAGAGCAGGCACGCAGCGGCACGGGGAGGAGCGGCATGGACCACAGCAGACAGCCTCTCCAGCCTGAGTGCCCGGGTCAGCAGGCCGAGGAATTCCACCCATTGCTTCCTCTGGGAAGTCGATGGTGAAGGGGTCCTCTGAGAGTGGAGAGTAAGCGTGTGAGTTAAGGTGCTGAAGTAGAGTGAACACACCTGCAGGTGCTGCTGTGACGAACGCGGGACGCCAGCCAGGTGGGGGCAGGGCTCTGCGCAGAGGCAGGCCCGGCGGGGAGGCTCTGTCTGCCAAGTCAGTTCAGTCCCGTGGGAGGATGGTGAGGGAGCAGAACCGCTTAGCAACATGAGGTACAGAGAGCCACAGCAGGTGACACCGACCTGGCTTCAAAGACACTAGGGGCGGGGAGGCGTCCCAAGGCAGAAGGAATTCTGTAAGCGGCAGCTTGGCGACAGCGAAGGCGCAGCTCTGCAAGTGGCATCTGCTGAGGAGAGGCTTGAAGAGGCGCACAGCCATCCTCAGCTCAGTGGTTCTCATCTGGAGGCAGCTTTGGTTGTCACAACTGTGTGTGGGTGGGTGCTACTGACACCTAGTGGGTAGAGGCCAAGGACACTGCAATGCCCACACCCCCAAACAATGACCTGGTCCCAAACGTCGACAGTGCCAAGGTGGAGAAATGCTGCTCTAGGTTAAAGACTGTCACAAGTACTGCTTGATGTATAAAGTTAATTTGCACTACACCTGATAATTGCACTGTTGCTACGTGGCAGTGAGATGGGGTGCTGTGATGAGCAGGCTGTGCGGTGCAGTCTAGGGAAAGTTACAGCTTGGTGACGCAGGGGGTGTCAGAGGAACAAACAGCCGCTCAGTTCCACAGCAACAGGGAAAACTCTACACTCGGCCAGGGCAGTAAGCACGGATAGTAACACAATGACCCAGTCCTGAAAGGCAGCCGAGTGACAGTACCATAGAGGGTGCAACGAAAGAAGTATGCCAAAAATTCTAACACTCATAAGCAGACCACAAACACAAACCACTTCTATGGTGGCAGGTGCAGCTGCAGAAATGGTTCAGATCAACCATGGCCTGGACCTTGCTGGAGGGCGTGGCCTTGCAGCATCAGAATCCGGCAGGAACTTATAATATAAGTGCATACGCCTGGCCTCCACTCGGGATGTTTCTGAAAGCCTCCTAAAGACTCTGATGCACAGTCACATCTGGAAAGCAGTGAACTAAATTTTAAGAAGAGGGACAGACGTCAGGCTCATGCCTGTGATCCCAGCACATTAGGATGCTAGGGTGGGAGGATTACTTGAGGCCAGGAGTTCACAGTAGCCTGGGCAACACAGTGAGACCCCAACTCTACAAAAAATAAAAATTATACAAAAGGAAAAAGATAACTCCAAATGAAACTGTGGAAAAGTCAACACTGAAGGGATGAAGATAATGGGATGAAGCTCCCAGAATAACCTACTTTAGGCCGAGCCTCTCCTGAGGACCCCCTCATTTTAGTAATGCCCATGAATGGTTTTGGAGGCCCTCATCTTTAGGTACCATATGGTTCTAGAGGATCCTGGGCTGAAATAGCAAGACAGAATTTGGAGAGCCTTGGCTTCTCCTGGTCATTCCAGTGTTGAAGCAGGCAAGTGTGGATGACACCTCCCTGTGTCCCGCTGGCCCTTCTTCTGATTTGCACTTACGTGTGCATTTCCTTTAGCCTCACATTTAGATCATCAATGACTGCATGTGAAGGAAGACTGGTTGTTCCATAGTTTAATTTTCTATAGGACAGCCTACATTTAGTTTTATAGATTTTCCTTTATACATAAACTAGAATGATTTGACTTCTAGAATCTTGGATTTCTGTTTCAGTATATGTAATTCTTCTTCAGTTTGATTTTTTTTTTTTTAAAAAAACAGATTTTCCTAGACTCAAAATAGATGCTTTGTAAGTAAAATAAGACCGGTAGCCTCATGGAGATAACAACTCACAATTATTTTATTAATTCACATGCTCCATATTATAAGGCTGGAGTTGTGTGGATGTCTTTTAAATAGACGGGAGAAGAGGCAAACTCTTTGGTTTTAGCCTTCTTGGCAGGTGATTTCCTATTTATCCAATTGACACTCAGAACTGTGTATCTTGGTTTCATACTCCCCAGCTCGAGAGGAGCCATGGGAGAAACCAATATGCTGTTTCCAGGGCACCCAGGCACAGGCGAAACTTCTCACGGAGGGAAGCCTGGGTCCTATGTGGGGAGCACGACATTAAAGACAGGCCTTGACACAGCTCTGCCATTTCTGAATGTGCAACCTGGAACCTGCTATTGGCTCACCATCCTTCACTGTACAACGGGGAAAAAACACCCTCTTAGAACTGCTGAGAGAATTATAGGAGAAGGTGAGTATAGTCTGCTCAGAGCAGAGCACCTGAACCAGAGCAGGCACAAAGCAGGTATCAGTTCTCTCCATTTTGCATAATCCAGGTTTAGAAAAATATTTAATCCAAGTCCCTGGAGTTGTTGTACCCAGAGCCAGGTGAGCTCGATGGAAGTCTCACTGAAGGGCCTAGCGATGTAGTCTAAGATGGATAGGAACAAGGGACTGTGTTTGAAACCTACATGAATCACAAATCAACGCCGAGCACAGTGGCTCATGTGTGTAATCCCAACATTCTGAGAGGACAAGGCAGGAGAACTGCTTGAGTCCAGGAGTTCATGTTCAGCTGTGGGCAACACAGCAAGAACCCCATCTTTAAAGAAAACAGGCCGGGTGAGGTGGCTCACGCCTGTAATCCCAGCACTTTGGGAGGCTGAGACTGGTGGATCACCTGAGGTCAGGAGTTCGAGACCAGCCTGGCCAACATGATGAAACCCTGTCTCTACTAAAAATACAAAAATTAGCGGGGCGTGGTGGTGGGTGCCTATAATCCCAGCTACTCGGGAGGCTGAGGCAGGAGAATTGCTTGAACCCAGGAGGCGGAGCTTGCAGTGAGCTGAGATTGCACCACTGCACTCCAGCCTGGGTGACAGAGCGAGACTCTGATTCAAAAAGAAAAAGAAAAAGAAAAAGAAAAAGAAAAAGAAAAAGAAAAGAAAAAAGAAAGAAAGAAAGAAAGAAAGAAAGAAAACAAACGTAAAAAGACGACTGAAACCACAGAACAAGAATTCTCAACCTCAACACTCCTAGGCTGTGTCTGGGGAGTCCGGAGGCTGCGTGCACGTCGCATACTGGCTACACCTAGGAAGGCTGTGCAGCCTGCACCTGCTGAGCAGCACCACTCCCTGCCGGCTGCAGCCCCATGGCCAGCAACGCACAGCGGACGTGGCCTCCAGAAAGCCACGGGGTGGGGGGCACTCAAAAGCAAGGGAGATGCCCACTCTGAAAAGGAGGCATACAAAGCACATTAATATCATTCTTTTTCAAACAAATGAAGTTGACATACTTGCAGGGGAGAATTCGGACGACATCATTCTGCTTATAGCTCTCTATGCAGACTGCGCAATGATCAAAGTCTGGGTCAGTTTCCTAAAATGAAAAGTACAGAAAAGTCACATGCTGCAAGTAGACAAATGGCTGGGATGCGATTCAGCTCAGAATCTTTCTGTGGCTACTATGGTAAGCAAGTGTTATAAAGTGAAAAATTATTAAAATTAATTTGTTTTTATTTACCTAACTATATTGGCCCAAATTATGTCTAAGCCAATCTATTTTGTTTTTAAAATTTTAACAATCTGTATTAATTCTGTTTATGATATGTCTTACAAAAATTAAGTCATAATTCTAATTTTTTCAAGGTTAGAATCAGCTTGGACCATCATGATCTCCCCATCCCTCATTGCCCCTGTACTACTGATTGGTCTGAAGAGGTTTCACTGCTATGTTTGACAGTCTGGAAGCTCACCAGGATGCTCACTTAAAGACACACCTAAGTACAGACAGGAAAGATGGTGAGTCAAGTCCCAGCAGACTGCTGTCTAGAAACCCACCCCAAGAATGGGAGCTGTGAATCTGGTCACAGATTGGGGATGGAGAAGAGTCACTGGCTCAATTCAATACTTGGTCTTCATCAAGAGTGAGAAGTCAGCCAGGTATTTAGACACCAAATTAATTGAAATCCTTCCTCCTAGGACTGAGAAGGGGTTTTGCAAAAGTCGTCATAAAACAAAACACGCCATAAGCCAGGAAAACAGACTGTTTGCCATGTCATTGTCACTTGGACTGAAACTCAGTGGACAACTCTTGCCAGGTCTAGCAGGTACAAACTAAGATGAATTGGCTTTAATAATTAAAGGAAATAACTGTGCTGGCCTGGGATACAATGTAAGATGGGTAGGTTAAATCCGCTCCAGAGAATTTCATCCTAATGTGGCAGCTGAGGCCACCAGGCCAAGAACACATTTACACTGTTACACTGGTTACCACTCCTCTGCCACTGAAATGCAAGCTGTTTTGATGCTACTTATATTTTCTTGAGTGATTCCCCCCTTTTCTGTTTCCTTGGTGCACAATAAAGTTCACTAAGAATGTCTCCACCTTCTGAAGTTGTTTCAAAGGCAACTAGATACGGTGGTATCAAGGCAATGGGAATACAATGGGTAAAGTCCAAGAAACTGGTAAAACTTAGGAAGACAGAGAATCATACGAAATTATTCTTCCAGGCACAACTCTGTGCTTAAATATTAGAATTGGGTGTGGGGCAGGAGACAGTTTTGGTTTCATGCCTTTTGAGATTCCATTTTCCCATTCTAGAAAACCTTGAACACTCTGAATGTAGGGGCAGCACTAAGGTACAGCTGTGTCCTTCTAGCGGAGAAGCAGGGCTCTACCGTAACTAGAGCTCTGAGAGGGGGATGTCAGTCAGAGGTCTCCACCACAGCAGCCTGACACCGCCTCTCTCCCCGGTCCTCCAAGCCACCAGCGATGACCCTGACACACTCTGACACCGCCTCTCTCCCCGGTCCTCCAAGCCACCAGCGATGACCCTGACACACTCTGACACTGCCTCTCTCCCCGGTCCTCCAAGCCACCAGCGATGACCCTGACACACTCTGACACCGCCTCTCTCCCCGGTCCTCCAAGCGATGACCCTGACACACTCTGACACTGCCTCTCTCCCCGGTCCTCCAAGCCACCAGCGATGACCCTGACACACTTTGCTCTCCTTTCAAACTGCTCGACCCATTGTAAAGAGAGCGCCTTTTTAGGTGAAACTCCCTAGAAATACAGGTCTTCAATTCTCCATGTAATTAGTGAAAAAATAAAACAAGAGACACAGCAAAGTCCCAGGAAGTATAGGAAGAAAACACACGTCTCCTGGCTTTTTAACGCACAAATGGTCCCACTAGAATTCTCTGAAAATGTATGCTAGGTTTTAGCAGAAGAAAACTCTGTAGGAAAACACAGCTAGAGTTACTGTAAGAAAGTAGTTTAAAATAAAGCATTAGGTAGTATAGTTGGGAGAAAATCTAACAAATGAAATGTAAACAATTAGGGTGTGTCCTCTCCCATCAAACAAAAACAAAACTGTTTGATTATTTTTACAGTGCTAAAGTTAGTTCATTACAGTACCTTGTCACCCTTCTTTACTGTCCTCGTTGTCAATTTACTGATGGCTTTCTTAGCTGCATCTCCAAGACGACGCTGTGAAAATTGCAAATAAAAACAGATATTAAGTGTAAGGTCTCCGAATGACGTACTTTATTTCTAAGCAATTAAAAGTATAAAGTCTCCATTTTACTACATTCCTCTCCATGTCCTACATATAAGAGAATGATAAAAATTTTTTTTTAGATAGAAAAACTGGTGGCTGTGCCACAGATTCAGCATTCTGGTTGAATAATAAAAAGTGTTAGAGCACCCTGTTAGGTCAAACTCCCTAGAAATATAGGTCTTCAATTCTCCAGCAGTAAAAAAGTCAGGTGTCATAATTGCTGCATTTTGTGTTGAATAAACATTTGAAATATCACAGCATTATCAAACCCACTTCTTGTACACTCCAGAGCCACTCCTGCTGCTCTAATGGCTTTTGGAGTCTGCTCAAGGAATGATCACCATGAGGTGTGTAAATGCTATCTTAGAAAAGGGAAACCCTGATTGCTCCTTGAAATTGCTTCTCACATCATCAAGCGTGAAGAGAAGGAACGCGTCACAGCTCTACTTCTGGCTCTGCTACACTACCCTCTGTCATCCTAGGAAGGTGTATTTACCTTCCAGGGTTGAGCTGTTTTCATTATCTCTAAGGGTGAGGTCAGAGAATCTCCAGGGCTGGATTTATGCAACATTCTCCCAGATACTGCTAGCACTGCTTGGCACCAACAACCCAAAGATGAAGAGATGGTGATCCCTACCCTTGAAAAGCTCACTGAACTGGGAACAGTTACATTCATGGTGAACCCTCAAGCATGCCCAGGGCCAGGTGGCAGCGCAGAGGAGGTGACTAGGAGGGGTGGGGCGAGGCAGGGGAGGAACATCAAGGAAGGTCTTGAGGAGTCGAGGCCTGGGTTAAGACTGGGAAGGGGTGAGAATGGGAAAGGCATAGGGTTAGGAGGCGGTTCCGGGTGTAGGGGATAGGAGGAGGTTCCAGGCAAAGTCATAATCTGGTAAAGATAAATAGGTGTAAAGAACAGGTATGTGAAGAAAACTGAGGAGAGCATCTGCTTTCCTGTTCAAATTAGAAAAGCTTTGTGAATCAGAGGGCCCTAGAACATTCACACTGGGACACGGGGCACAAACCAAGACTGTCCCTGGCACATCAGGGAGACGGTCCCTCTAGACACATCTGTGCCCTACACTGCGGGGAAGGCAGATGCTGCTCCTGACGGAGCGAGGCGGGGACCAAAACAACAGAGACCTTAAGAATGTTAAAAACCCATACAAACATGTAAGAAAAAATGTAGGGGAAAGTTTTAAATACACAAAAGAACAGAGAATAATTTAATAAAGCCTTCCCTATGTATCTAGCATCCGGCTTCAGTTACCAGAATTTTACTTCTAGTTTTTATCTGCTTCCCCTCTTTATTGTGTTAGATGATTCTGAAGCATATCGTAAGCATCCCATCATTTCAGCCATAAAATTCTCACTAAGCACCTCTAATAGATACGGGCTTTTGTTAGATGCCATTATCTTTCCTAACAAAAGTAACAATGATTAATCAACATTATCCAATACTCACATTATACTACAAGTTCCCTAGGTGTTTACAGAATGTCTTTAAGTAGCTGGCTTGTTTGAATCGAGATATAAAATCCACACACTGCGTGTGGCTGCTCTGTCTTCGAAGCCTAATCTATGACTCCCCTCTACCACGCTGGTTTTAAACCGCCTTAGGGAGACAGAATTGACGTAAAATAGACTGCATATATTTAAAATCTACACCTTGACATATATTTAAAGTTACAGTTTGAAGTTGCATATGAAATCTACACTTTTGTTTTCATGACCTATGAAAACCTAGCTACAATTAAGACAGTGCATCGATCACATCCCCAAATTTCTTTGCGCCCCTTCTTAATTCCCTCCTCCCGCCACCCCATCCCTCCATGATCCACTTTTTGCTATAGCAGTTTACAACTTCAGGAATTTTATAGAAATGGAACAGATACAGTATGGACCACTGTGTGTAGGCTTCTTTCACTCAGCATGATTGTCTTGAGATTAATTCACCTTGGTGCATGTTTCAACAGTTAACTCCTTTCTAATGTTATCTAGTATCCCACTGAAGAGATGGCCCACAATATCCTTTCACCTGTTGATGGGACATCTGCATTGTGGTCCAGTTTTTGGCTGTACTGAAAAGCTGACAACAATATTCTTTAGTTGTATGAAGACTGTGCAATTCTTTGCATGGACATATGCTTTCTTTTTTCCTGAGGTAAACACAACAAGTAGAAAGATGGGCTCACCTGACAGGTATCTGACTTTTATTTAAGAGACTGCCAAAGTGTTTTCCAAACTGAGCATACTATTTTACATTTGCACCAGCAACGTGCAACTATAATAGTTCCTCCACATTCTCACCAACACTTGGTATGGTGAGTTTTTGTGGGGTTTTTTTGTTGGTTTGTTTTTGTTTTTTTCCGAGACAAGGTCTTGCTCTGTCTCCCAGATTGGAGTACAGTGGTGCAAACACAGCTCACTGCAGCCTCGACCTCTGGGGCTCACTCAAGTGATTCTCCTGCTTCAGCTTCCTGAATAGCAGGAAGTACAGGGGTGCACCACCATGCCCAACTAATTTTTTTATTTTTATTTTTGTAGAGACGAGGTCCCACTATGTTGCCCAGGCTGGTATCAAGCTTATTGGCTCAAGCAATCCTCTCACTCTGGCTTCCCAAAATGCTGAGATTACAGGTGTGAGCCATAGCACCCAGCCTCCTTACAGTTTTAATCTGCATTTCCCTATTGTAATGATGTTGACCATCTTTTCCTGTACTTATCAGCCATATGTACATTGTCTCTGGTGAAGTGTCCGTTCATGTTTTTGGTCTGTATTTCTGAGTTGTTTCCTATTATTGACTTTTGAGAGAACATTACATATACCAGATAAAAATCCTTTTGCATGTATTTTCCCTCACTTTATGGTAATTTTGATGAAGTCAATCATTTTTTCATTTGGTAGATGGTGCTCTAGTATCATATTAAGGAATCTTTGCCTATTTCAGGGTTACAAAGACATCTCCCTGTTTTCTCTTCTAGAAGTTTTATGGTTTTATACTATGTATTTAGGGTTCTGACTCATTCTGTGTATTCTGTCAGGCACAGATGATTTTTTTTTTTTTTTTTTGGCATATGGACATACAATTGGTCTAGAATCATTTGCTGAAAAGGTTGTCCATTCTCCACAGAATCACCTTTCCAAATCTGTCAAAAATCAACTGTACATAAATGTGTGGGTCTATGTGCGGACACCACGCATCTATTCACCATTAAGGAAAGACAATCCTGTCCTGATTTCTGAAGCTTTGTAACAGGTCTGAAATTAGGGGGTGTTAACCATCCCACATTTCCTTTCTATTCTAACATCCTTGTGGTTTTTCTCGATATTTTGCGCTCCCATATGAACTTTAGGATCAGCTTGTCCATCTCTATGATAAAAGATATCAGGGATTTACAATGAGATTGTGCTGAATGTATACATCCACTTGGGGAGAATGGGCATCTTAATAACATTAAGTTTTCCACTCCACACTGTGTATGTGTCTCTCTACCTACTTAGTTCTCTACCTACTTAGTTGATTAATTTCTCTCAGCAACAGTTAGTTTTCACTATATAGGGCATATTGCATATTTTGTCAGATTTACTGTTAAGAATTTCCTATTTGTTGATGCTATAGAAAATGGGATTTCTTAAAATTTAACTTTCTTAGAGATGCGGTCTTGTTATGTTGCCCAGGCTGGACTCAAACTCCTGGGTTCAAATAATCTTCCACCTCAGCCTCATCTGCTTGATGAAAATGCTTTTTTAAAAACCAATTCTTCATTACTCATATATAGAAAAAAAATTAATTCTTTTACATTGATCTTGTATCATGGAACCTTGTTAAATCTGTTGGTCTTTTTCATAGATTCCAACATATTTTCTACACTAAATTTCTACAGAAAATAATGTCTGTAAATGAAGGCAGCTTACTTCTACATTTCCACAATGGATGTCTTTTACTTCTTTTCCTTTTTATTTACTGAGCTGACTAGAATCTAAAGAACAACGCAGACACAGAAGTGACCAGAGGACACACTCTTCTCTTGTTCCTAATGTTAGAAAAAAGAATTTAGTTGTTCCCCATTAAATATAATGGTAGCTGTCAGTTTTTCATAGATGGCCCTAATAGTTTGAGGAAAGTTTTAAAATCAGGAATCGATGTTGGACTTTGGCAAATATCTTTTCTCCATCTACTGAGATCATACAGTTTTAACTTTTTTGGCCTGCTAATATGGTAATAATACATTAATTTTTGAATGTTAAATGAAACTTACATTCTGGGAGTAAACACCACCTAGTCATGATGAATGTATACATATTGTTGAATATAACTTGCTAAATTTTTGTTTAGAATTTTTGCATCTACGTTCAAGAGGGGAACTGGTCTGTAGTTTTGTTTTGTAGTATTTCTGTCTAGTTTTGGTATTAGGAATGATACTGGTGCCATACAATGAAATTGGAGGTATTCCTGCCTTTTCCACTTTCTGTATAAGTTAAACATTTGAAATCAAAATCTGAAATGCTCCAAAGTATGAAACACTGTCAGTGCCAACATGAAACTTAATGGAAATGCTCACTACAGCATTTTGAATTTCAGAATTTTGGATTTTGTATGCCGAAACGGTAAGTATAATGCAAATATTCCAGAATCTGAAAAACTTCTGGTCCAAAGCATTTTGGATAAAGGGTACTCAACCTATAGTTGGTTTGATATTGTTATCACAGCTGCCCCTTGACCAACATGGAAGCACCCATCTCCAGCAAGTCATCTCCTATTAATTACTCTGGTGTAGTATCTATTTGTTCTTGAACTTCTCCAACATCCTTATCTTGAAACCCTTTACGCCCTGATTTTTTTTTTGTCATATCTACAATCTGCTTCATGATTTCCTTGACTGGCTCTATCATAAATCCTGTGAACTGATATACAATGCCTGAACACAG